AAAGGTTCCATAGGAAATCTCTACTTTCAAATAGTGGGGTGGAAGCTGTATTTTAAATCAACACTCAGACAGACTGAGCATAATCAAAGATGAGGGAGAAAAACACAAAAGCAACAGTGGGATTGAGTAAGGGGATACAACCTTAGATGAAAGAGATTTTTGAAGCCCTGAGACAATATCTGGAGGGGGATCAGCCGCTAGCGACAGGCCACAGGCTGGTTTGAGTGTCCTTATGTCACAGCTGCTAACCTTTCACAAAGCGAGGAATCCAAGACAGAGAAAGGAAAAAAGTCACAATGCCTTCTCTGAAAAACTATCTCACAGTATCCAACAGATGTAGACTATTGCTGTTTCTCTTAAAAACTGAAAATATCATGCAGATCCCCTGTGAGTTTGCAGTGGCACCTTACCGTGCCTCAGCATAGAGCCAGGAACCTGGCTCTTACAATGTAACCTCCCAGGTGCTGCTTTAGTGCACAGCTTTCCTACCCAGACGTGGACGGGGGAAGGAGAATGCTTTCTGTTACCAGGCATGAACACAAGGACACATTCCTGGAAACTGAATGACTCACCATAAAATCTTATGCCAGGGAACCATAAGATCTTTGCTGGAGAAAGCATGCAAGAAACTCTAGCTTCAAAACAGCCATTCCAATGTACTGGAACCTCTCACAGTGTTAGCTGCTATTGCTTAAGAGCTATAGAGAGGCTATAAACAAATCATTTTGCCTGAAGCAAGCTCTTTTACTTTATAAAGAAATATAGGGCTCTCCTGGCCTTAACATTTGTTACACTGTGTTGAGCTGATAGCTATTATTCTTTCTCTTTCCAGATAAACAATCAGTATCTTTACAAACTTACATTTTCATACTTAAAATAATCAGTAAGAAATAAATGTATACATTTTTCTTTACATTTTGAAACAATTTCAGACTTACAGAAAAGTTGTAGAGTTCCCATATACCCTTTACCCATTTTCCCCTAATATTAACATCTTATAACCATAGTAAAATTATCACAATCAGGTAATTAGGATCATATAGTACTATTAACAAATTACAGACCCTCATAAATTTTGCCAGTTTTCCCAGTAATGTCCGTTTTTAAGGTACAGAATCCAAGTGAAGATTCCGTGTTGCATTTAGTTATCACGGCTCCTTAGTGTCCTCCAATCTGTAACAGTTCCTAAATCTTATCTTTCATGACCTTAAAATTAAAGTATTTGAGTAACACTAGACAGAGAACTGTTCCTCAATTTGAGCTTGTCTGATACTTTCTCTTAATCAGATTGACGTTATACATTTCTGGCAAGAATCCTACAGAAGCGCTTGTTCCTTTGTCAGTATATTGTATCAGGCATAAAATGTTTTACAGTTTTGGACAAGGCATGATTTAAGAAATTTTTCATAAATCCAAGTATGTTTTAAACAATGCCCATTGTATCTTTATCAACATATGCTAAAATTCCTTAATAATTAATAGAATTAAAATTGTGCTTGTTTGGAATGTTGAGAAGTATCAATGTGGAGCTTAGAAAGTCAATCAAAGAATACAAAAGTTCCATGCAATAGGATTGTAATTTTGTTTACTGCTGTATCCCTAGCATCTTGAAAAGTGCCTGCCACTCAACATTTGTGATATGAATGAAATAATTTTGAGAAACAAAACACTAACAAATTCATAAAATTATTAAATTAACCTCGTTAGTGTGGGAAAAGTCCAACCATTTAAAACAGCTTTTACACTATTTATACACTTGTTTACAGGAACCTATTTCCAATCTCCCTGAAACTGCTGGCCAGCCATGCAGTTAGTGCTTCCAGGTGTCACATAACACACAGGATCCTGGGCAGCTTCACCCGCTGCAACCCTAGATTTAGGCAGCCACACCTACACCCGCCCGGGCAATTCAGCAGGACTGCTGGGCAAAACTCAATTAAACATAAATAGGGTCACACATGCTACCAGCTCCTTGGAACCCTCCCCCAGATATACTTCAAAGATAAATTGTATAAAGGAAAGTAAAGATGCCATAGTTCTACTATTAGCTATATTAGTAGGTGCCTGATCTACCAAAGCCACAAAAAACTTTCCTCTGCAGAGCAGCATTCCTGAAAGCAAACCTTACAGCAGGGATCAAACCATGCTTATTACTTACAACAGGAGAAGAGTTCAGGCACATTGAAAGTCATTAACATACTTTCCTAAACTCTAGAAAATCTGATTCATAGTAATGCAACCTTCTAGTCAGACAGTCACTGAATTGAAGTTGCTCTTACATGTTATGCTGCACTAAAAAGTAAAACTGAAATTTTTAATCTAATATTTAAATTGGACCGTTTATATGTCCGTGTATTTTTGTGTGTGTTCTTACGCAATCTTATTTGTTCTGGGGGGCAGCTGGTGTATTTCATTTTTCCCACTCTCATTCATTCTGGTCACACTCAGTACTTCACAATTACACGTGATACCATGCTATCTGAATTACCTTTTGACAGAATCCATCCAACAGAGGTTAAATGATGAGGTTAAAAAAATAAGATTATTTTATACCCTGACCACTTTCTAAAACTGTCATACCCACTTATAATGTGACTGGCAATGTGTAAGAGTACCAATTTCATAAACCCCTCAACTACTTGGGTCATCAATTTCTGATCATGTATGTATCAGAAGATGCTAACTTACTCTAAACTTTTTTCTAACAAAGCTGGATATTTTCTTATTTATCTCTTCTAATCTTTGCAAACTATCTGTTCATGTAATCAAGATTCTATCATGCATTTTGTGAAGAACACCTTGTGATCTGATGAGTTTCAACGTTATCCATAGTTGTAATAGGAAGTCAAAGACATATGGCTTCAAAAGACTTTTAAAATGGAAAAGCTCTGCTCAGATATTCTAATCATGTGCACTGGTGCCATTTCAGTAAACACTACTTCCCAAGCACATGTTTCAGTTATAGACATGAATGCATATGCGCATGGGCATGCATGTATATATATTTGTATGTTTATAACTCTGACTTGGGGACTTCAGGTTAAACCCTAGAAATGATCACACAGTGAGTTCAGTCACCATAGAGACTCATTAGGCATCTGCCTCCCTAAATCATTGAGATAAGTGCCTACTTAACCTCTGCAACACTGCTCAGGTGTTAAGTTACCTCTGACACCTTCCTAAACAGCCCAAGTTTGAGTCTTCTGTACATTAGATATAAGGCAATTATATTATCATATACATACTCCCAGCCTGAAATGATTTGGGAGGGAGAAAGAGGAGAGAAACATCAATGTGTGGTTGCCTCTCACATTCCTCCTACTGGGGACCTGGCCCACAACTCAGGCATGTGCCCTGACTGGGAACTGAACCAGTGACCCTTTGGTTTGCAGGCCAGCGCTCAATCCACTGAGCCACACCAGCCAGGGCTGAAATGATTTACTATTATTAGCCCATTTCCTCTAACATTATGAACTCTGTATGGCAAGGACTATATTATAATTATCTCAGTGTTTGTAATACTGTACATTGGAAAACAGTACCTTCTGAATTGTGAACTGATACAATTCAGCAGAATTTCCACAGAGCCAATTATTTCTGCAAGTAACTCATGATTTAATGCCTAGGTATTCTTCTTACCATATGTTGAAATTCTCATGACTATTAATAGCAGAATATAACTTAAAATTTGCTTTTTAAATTTTAATTAATTTTATTTAATCGTCATCCAAGGACATGTTTACTGATTTTACAGAGAGAGAGGAAGGGAGAAAGAGAGAGAAAAAGACTGATGTGAGAGAAACATTGATTAGCTGCCTTCTCATACATGCCCCAAATGGAAACTGAACCCACAACCCAGGTATGTGCCCTGACTGGGAATTGAACCTGCAGCCTTCTGATATATGGGACAACGTTCCAACCAACTCAGCTGCAATGGCTAGGGTTAAAATTTGCTTTTTTAAAAAAACAGCAAGCCCTGGCTAGTGTAGCTCAGTGGACTGAGCCCAGGCTGCAAACCAAAGGGTCACTAGTTCGATTCCCAGTCAAGGCACATGCCTGGGTTGCGGGCCAGGTCCCCCATGGGGGCCATGTAAGAAGCAACCACACATTGCTATTTCTCTCCCTCTCTTTCGACCTCTCTTCCCCTCTCTAAAAATAAATAAATAAAATATTTAAAACAATAAAAAAGCAGTAAAATATTATCTAAAAATGCATTTTTAAAGTCAACTTTTGAAAATACTTTAAGATCTATTTACTACCATATTTACCCAAATTCTACACAACATAAAGTGGAATAAAACAATTAAATTACAACTTCAAACAGCTCAGTGCACCTATTCAAATCCTGAAGAATGAAGCACATCCTTTGACTTTAAATAAAGAATATTGTTATTTTTTGGAGTAACTATTACTTCTGAATTCAGTTCTTACAGACCAGAAAAGGTACTCTGGCAGCTATGATTACATTTTAAGCAACTGAACAGCAGGACTTTTTTTGAAATGAGAGTCTTTTTTCTACACATGCTCCCATAATTATAGCATACTATTATATAAAAAGTTTCTGAACAGACTTAAATTTTATAGTTATAAAAGTACTGCAGCACTGCCTGGGTGGCTCAGATGGTTGGAGCAATGTCACATACACCAAAAGGCTGTGGGTTCCATCCCCAATCAGGACATGTATAGAAGACAACCAACCAATGTTTCTCTCTCTCTCTCTCTCCACCCCCCCTCCCCCTACCCTCCAAAATCAATAAATATATCCTCAGGTGAGGATTAAAAGAAAAAATACTATAGACACTCAAATATTTACTACTTATTAGCCAGGTAGTAAGCCTAATGATTCATTAATTATTTACTAGTTCACCACCACTGAGTGATAAGAAAAATATTCTACTTTCATTAAACCACAAATACTTCAAAATGACACACCTTACTTAACCTTCTGCCATGACTTCCTGTGCTGGCGGGTTTGAGTCCCCAACTGGTCAGAGGCTCACCTGACAGGTCCAGCTCCTTGGTGGAAGACAAATTGGCCAGACTCCAGCTGTCACTGCGGGCTGCCAGGACAAACTTGTGAGCATTGATGTGCCTATCTCCAACCTTTATCTTCAGATCACTGACAAAGAAACACATACACAAATATAAAAAGAAAAATGTCATCGTAACTAGGTATAGCTACAGTTCACAGCTGATAAATATCAGAATCTATTGATCAACATGCTTCTGCAAAAGAAAAAAAATCAGAGCAAATTTATTTTTCTACACTAGCACTGTTAAATAATATGATTAATATTCATATAAAAAGTAGAAAAGGTTTTAGTCAAGCTACATCATCAGGGGAGAAGATGGAAAGCACAGACACTATGATGACAGCTGTGAGACTACAATACTGCTGTGCTCCATGCCTCATTAATGCTCAAGCAGGTAAAACAGAAAACCTATGAACAAATTAGCTTCGATAAAGCAGTCAAATATATGAAACCCAATATCTAGACCCCTGTTCTCACAAACAACATTCAGACCTATTAGTGGCCATCTTTTACTCAATCATTAATAAAGACAATTGAGGTGGGGGAAATCTTTTTCTCAAATGTGTTTCCATATTTATGACATACCATCATATGAAAAGAGCTTTCCAAATATTTATGTTTATGCTCTGAAGTGTCAAATGCTCAGGGAAAAAAGCATCTAGGCAGTAAGCAAAAACCTAAGAATGACCTACTGAACTGACACAGTGTGTGCCACATGGCTAGGTTGGTAGCATTCCAAAGTCATTAATTATCATCATCCTACTTACATTTAGGTCTTTTTAAAATTTTCAAACCCCTCTTTAAAAAATAATGGTTAAGTTGGAAAGCCTTTAGAAACTAAGTACATAAAAACTGTCACATAAAAAAAAACGAAAAAAAAAAAATAACTATTATATGCTTTAACTCATCCACTTAAAAAACCCAACCAGAACATTGTTTCTATGTAATGCTTGATGCAGACACATTTTACCATGCAAAAGCACTGTCTAGGATATACTTTGTAATTATGTAAGCATATCAACAATTCTAGCCCTGGCTGGTGTAGCTCAGTGGATTGAGCACAGGCTGCAAATCAAAGGGTCATGGGTTCAATTCCCAGTCAGGGCACATGCCTGGGTTGTGAGCCAGGTCCCCAGTGGGGGCCATGTGAGAGGCAACCACACATTGATGTTTTTCTCCCTCTCTTTCTCCCTCCTGTCCCCTCTCTCTAAAAATTAAAAAAATAAAATCTTAAAAAAAATCTTAAAAAAAACTCTAGTTCTATTAAAGACCAAGTTACAACTAATTATGTTAGGTCAGAAAAGTAACAGAATATTCATTACTTGAAATAATTACAAACTAACGCAGTAGAGTATTACTAATTAATATAAATGAAATGGACTTAATACTCAACTTCAAACAGAACATAAAATTCTGTCTCAAATCATATCTTATGGTAAAGTTTTTAAAATTTAATGACAACAGAAATCTATTTACAATCCACAATTTTTACATTCTAAATTTATTTATCAAGTATTGAATTCTAGTAATTTAAATGAATATTTACTGTTTACTATTTTAGCCACAAATTGTAAAAATAAATGTTTCTATAAAATTCCTACTACTATTCATGAATGTTAGGTCAAAATTTTTTCTCTTTCATAGGCTAACATGCCAAAGAGAAATAAAGGTAAGAATTTCACTAATAATTTCAAATACTAATTTTTTAAATATTCAAAAATGGAAAACTGAACAAGTCTATGAGGACTCTACAGAAATAATTAAGAGGCTGGTAATTATTTTCACTTCATTCTAAGTAGTTAAAGAGCACTTCCTTTTAAAACATGGACACTAGGATGCTGTCACAAGAATAAATAAGGAGATTCTTGCTAGAGTTTCTTGATCAAACACTTTAATGGGAAAAATTATAAGCTTGGTTGCTAAAAGAATCAATGTAGTAAATAACTACACAAATCATCGTTTTTAACTATCTTATGGGACAAAGGCCTTCTCCTGAACTTAAGTAAAAACAAACTGACACATTTCTACACTAAAAAATTTTAACACTGATACACATAAAAAAATACTATTTAAATTTTTCAATAAAATGCATGTTTTATGGGAAAAAGCATTTTTTTCTATATTGGTAAAAGAGCAACTGCTTCAGAAACTTATTTTCCAATTTCAGTCCAATCTCAGTCCTCTGTGAGGGCTCCAATCCCCACCGCATATTTAATTGTAGATAGGTATTCAACCTTTAGATAAAGGACAGGTGGAGAGGGACCCACTGGAACCATGAAATCACACCATAGCTGACTTAGTAACAGGCGGCCAGGAGGGGAAATTGCCCAGTCTCATGCCCATTATATCCCAGAAAGACTACAGTATTATGCATGCAATTGATTGATAAGTGGTTGAAAAAGAAATGTAAATTCTAATGGTGAAAACCTTGGAGAGTGGGACAAAAGTGCTTGTAACAGAAAAATGTCAGAATTCCCCACCTAGCTGAACAGAAATAAAGTTTTTATTTGTCTATGGGGAAAAAAAGAGAAAAATTTAAAAAAGGCAATGAACTATATTTTACAAGTGGCTATATCCATTCAATTAGGCTGACCTTTATTCAGTGTATAGCATTTCCAATTTTTTTGGTATTAATTTTTTTTTTTTTAGAAATGATTAAGCTACTCCATTTCCTATATTAATCTTAACATCCCGTCTATTCTGTACCTACCAATCTGTACTTTTTATCCCTGCACCTTTTCCCTCATTCTCCTGTTCCTCCTCCCAACCTATAGCCCTCCAAATGATCTCCATATCTATGATTGTTTCTGTTCTGCTTGTTTGCTTAGTTTTAGATTCAAGTGTTGATAGTTGTGAATTTGTTGCCATTTTAATGTCCGTAGTTTTGATCTTTTTATTAAATAAGTTCATATAATAATGGCTTAGTGACGATGAACTCCTTTAGCTTTACCTTGTCTGGGAAGCACTTTATCTGCCCTTCGATTCTAATTGATAGCTTTGTTGTATAAAGTAATCTTGGCTGTAGGTCCCTGCTTTTTATGACTTTGAATATTTCCTGCCAGTCCCTACTAGCCTGCCAAGTTTCTTTTCAGAAATCAGCTGACAGCCTTATGGGAACTCCTTTGTAGGTAACTGTCTGCTTTTCTCTTGCTGCTCTTAAGATTCTCTCTTTATCTTTAACCTTTTGCATTTTAATTATGATGTGTCTTGGAGTGGGCCTCTTTGAATCCATTTTGTTTGGGACTCTCTTTGCTTCCTGGACTTACATGTCCATTGCCTTCACCAAATTATGGAAGTTTTCTTTCATTATTTTTTCAAATAGATTTCAACTTTCTTGCTCTTTCTCTTCTCTTTCCAGCACTCCTTATGATTCGAATACTGGTATGTTTGAAGTTGCTCCAGAGGCTCCTTAGCCTATCCTTGTTTTTTTGGATACTTTTTTCTTCTTGCTGTTCTGATTACGTATTTTTTTTCTTCCTTATGTTCCAGAATCATTGATTTGACTCTCAGCTTCATCCACTTCACTGTTGGCCCCCTATGAAATTTTTTTTTACTTCACTTTGTGTAACCTTAATTTCTGCTTGAGTCTTTTTTATGTTGTTGAAGTACCCAATGAGCTCCTGAAGCATCCCAATAACCAGTGTTCTGAACTCTGCATCTGATAGATTGCTTATTTCCATTTTGTTTACTTCTTTTTCTGGAGTTTTGTCCTGTTCTTTCTTTTGGGCCGTAGTTCTTTGTCTCCTCATTTTGGTAGCCTCACTGTGTTTGTTTCTATGTATTAGGTAGAGCTGCTTTGAATCCCTATCTTAGTAGTGTGGCCTAGTGTAGAAAAGCACATCAGGCCCTGGCTTGTGTGGCTCAGTGGATTGAGCCCTGGCCTGCAAACCAAAAGGTCGCTGGTTTAATTCCAGTCAGGGCACATACCTGGGTTGTGTGACCAGCTGGGGGAGTGAGAGAGGCAACCAATCTATGTAACTCTCACATATCTCAGTGTTTCCCTCCCTGTCTCCATTCCTTCCCCTCTCTCTAAAAAATAAATAAATAAAATCTTTGAAAAGCACATCAGTAAGTTGGTTGGGGTGGAGCCTTAGGTAACTGCCAGGGCAGGGCAACCAGTGTGAACCAGGTTGATGAAGTTCTGATACGGTGTCTCTGCTTGTGGCTCTGTATAGGGGGAGGGCTCAGAAAGGGGATAATGCTGTTGCCCAGCCTCTGGAGTGTCTGGGAGAAAGCTATCCCCCAGCACTCACCCTAATGCCAGACACTTCAATTTCTCCCTGTACACTGCTGGTGTCCTTCCAGCTGCTGCCCCAGGGCTAGAGCCCAGAGGGAGTGAGTCTGTGTAAGTCCTAAGTCCTAAGTCCACTGTGGGCCCTTTAAGAGGAGATTCCTGAGAATTGCATAGTTTCTTCTGCTGCCACAACCCCCACTTGTTTTTACAGCCAGAAGTTATGGGGACTTATCTTCCTGGCACTGGAACCCTGGGCTGAGTGAGACCCCTTGCTCCTGAGATATCCCTCCCAACATTTTTTTCTTTTTTAAAAAAAGATTTTCTTTCTTTGTTTATTTTCAGAGAGAAGGGAAGGGAGGGAGAAAGAAATGGAGAGAACCATTAATGTGTGGTTGCTTCTTGCATGCCTCTTAATGGGGACTTGCCCTGCAACCCAGGCTTGTGCCCTGACTGGGAATCGAACTGGCAATCCTTTGGTTTGTAGGCCGGCGCTCAATCCACTAAACCACACAAGCCAGGGCCCCTCTCGATTTTTATCCACCACACATGGGTGTGAGACTGCACATACTGCGTCTTCCTGTCTCTGCCCCTCCTACCCATCTGGATGAATGTGACTTCTTTTAATTCTCTGGCTGTGGGATTTTCATACTGCTCAATTATCTGATGATTCTAGGTGATAACTGTTTTAGAGTTTAGTTGTAATTTTTGCTTTGGCTGTGTGAGAAGACGAGTTGTATTTATCTATGCCTCCATCTTGACCGGAAGTTGATTTTGATCTATTTTAAATGTCATAATTTATTTTGAAATTTTACTAAGCCTTATATAGTCCAATCATCCATTTCACTAGTAGCCAAATCCCTTCTTCTCTGCATATTCACATCCATGTTTCTTTTCCATACCACTGTCATCATTCTAATTCAGTCCTTAATCATTTCTGGTCTGAACTACTTACAACATCACAACTGCGCTCCAGCTCTCTTCTCTTTAGAATTTCATCTATATAATGTTACCAGGTTAATCTTCCTGGAACACTTTGATTGTGACAGTCCTACAACTCAAAAATACTGTTCCAACGCTTTCTAGAGGATCAAGTCCAAATTCCTCATCTTAGCATCCCAATACAACCCACCCAATACAACCCACCCAATACATTCCCCCTCTCCCAGTGTTTCCCTATATGGACATGTACTCTTAAAAGGCCCCTTCACTATATTCTAAATCCTCTGCATATTCCCTTGGTTGAGCCTATTCTTAGCTACTCCCTCTACTAGTAATATCACCGTCTTTTCTATTAAATCCTACATAGGCCTTAACATTTACCTCAAAATTCACTTAATTACAGCACCTAACAACTGAGTACCTACTATATGCTGAACACTGTCGAAGTGCTTAAAACATGTATTTATTAATCCTCACAACAACCCTAAAGCAGGGAGTAGTATTATATCCCCATATGCAGATTAGGAACTGGAGGCATAGAACTCCAGGTCACACAGAAAGTAAATGACCAGCAGAGCTTCTAAGATAGGCTGTGTAGCTCCAGAATCCACTTTCAACCATCATGCTATACTGCCCACTAGTTTCCAGACTCCTTCTTTGACCACCCCAAGAGAAAGTGACTTCTTCTCTCTGAATCCCTGGACATGTAAGCTAATTCCTGTTTGCACCAGACATGCTATCACCATTACTCCCTCGCTCTGTGCCCAAGATAAGCAGGAAACAGACTAAATCTTGCCTGAAGGAACTTATGTTTTAGAAACTAAAGGTTTGCTAAGATCCCCATTAGAGAGAAATAAACTTGGAAAGAAAGTCAACAAGGGAGGAGAAGTTACAAGGTGGCCTGGGTATAAAGGTAAAGGGCTGGCTTCCCCAAACTGGCCGTGTCCAGGAGCTCACCTATACTGCTCCTGCTCATAGAGGTCAGCCACGATCATCAGCAGGCGGCTGATGAAGGACTCATTGCTGTTATCCTTGTTTGCTTGCGCAGCCAAAAGACTACATCTCTTCTCTGTCTCTGCCAATTTCTTCTGCAGCTTGACATATTCTTGTCGGAGAAGCATCAAGTGCTTCTCCAACTTGGCCACCTCCTCTGCAAGGGAAACAAAGAGTCACGTTTACCATAGCAGGTATAAAGCAGACAATATTCACTAATCTCTCATTTCACAGATAGGGTGGCTACCAAGATGACCAGTCACATGTTTCTACTACTTCTGATACTCCCAGAGGACCAAAAATGGTTCTGTTTCAGTGTGCCACTGGGTCACGAGGCCCAAAAGACCATCATGGTCCAGAGGTTTCTCAGTTTCCCTTGAAGATCAATATTCAATACGACAATGAATAGACACATTTACCCTGCAAATCCTTTACCATGAAGCTAGGAGTCTCAAGGAAAGATAATCAAACCTGCCTGGGAGGATTTTTCTTTTTATCCTTACCAGAGGACATGCTCATTGATTTTAAAGAGAGGGGAAGGGAGGGAGAGAAAGATGGATTGGTTGCCTTTCATAAGACCCCCAACCCCAACAGGAGACCAAACCCGCAACCTAGGCATGTATGCTGACCAGGAAGCGAATCCATGATCCTTCAGTTTATGGGATGAGTCTCCAACCCACTGAGCCCCCTGGCCAGGGTGCCTAGGAGGCTTTTTCAAGCCACTAGTAGAAGTAACTAACTTTCACATGTCACACAATGTTCTAAAAGCTTTCTGGGAATTCTCTCATAAGCTTCATGACAACCACATGAGGTAGGTCATATTACTAGCCACATTTTACAGGTGAGGACACTGAGGTTAAATATTTGCATAAGGTCACAAAGCTGGTGAGAGGTGGGGCTGGGAGTAGCCCAGGTATTCTCACTCCTGGGCCTGTGATTTTCACCTACCACCCCACGCCATCCAACTCCTGCCTTTCCTCAAGAGAGGATCAGGGCAGTCAACAATGATTCAAATGGAAGCGAGTCATATTCCACAGGTGTGCCGGGGCAGATTAAAAAAGTTGAGAACCACTATATTTGATTCATTAAATCCACACAGGTCTACCAAGTGCCTACTAGGTATGTGTCAGACACTACACAATGGTAAGCAAAATCAGACATATCTTTCCTAAAAGCTTTTAGTTATGGGGAAAGTAAACTTTTATATAATAAAAATTATAACAATCAAATGCAAAACTGTAACTCCAAAGAGTATTAGAAGGAAAGAACAAAACTGTAAGAACCTATAATAAAGAAATTTAACTTAGGACATCAGAAAAGGCTTCCCCTAAGGACGTAACAGTCAAGAAACTTCTCCTTCATCTCAGCTCTAGGGTCTTAGTGGGGAACCATGCAACCATGCAAATTGGTACTTTCATAAATCAGGATCTAACTATGGAACCATGGTGTTGCTCTGGCTGTTCCCTGGGCCTCAACTAAGCCCCCTCACCCCTTCACCTCCCAGCACAGGTATTCCAAACCTTAACACCATCCTCAAGCCCATCTCCCACCCAGTCTGCCTTATTCTGAGCTAATGCCTTGAGAAAACTGAGCTGCGGCCAACAACTTCCACTGTACCAGTAACTACTTCTACCTACTCCATGCTTTCTTAGAGAAAGCATGTATCTCCCTCTGGTCCAAGTTTAATCCCTCCACCTATGCTCCAAACCCACCACCCTCCTCTGGTCCTCTGCTTTATCATCAACCATCCCTTCTCCAGCAACTTCAATCTCTTTCACCTCGTCTTCATCAGCACACGAACTTTTCCAAGTCTAAACAAAACCCTCCTTCCACACCACACCTGCCTTCCTTCTCTAGACACCACACACCATTTCCTCACCCACCGTTCCCCTGTCATCCCTCCTTCTGTCCCCACAGTGTTAAGGGAGTGACCTAAACTTCTCTTACCAATGATCTAATTGCCAAGCCCAAGAGAGACACTTGCCAGTGGTTCTCCTCCTGGGCCTGTACAACACAGCATGACAGTCTTGCCCATCCTTTTCTTCTATTCTTTCAGCAACCATGTGCCACACCCTCCCACGTGCCACACCCTCTTTCCCATTCTGGTTGCCTCTCACCTGCTTCCCTACATCCCACCCAACCCTTAACCACTGACATTCCCCAGGGTTCTACCCTTGGCCCTCTTCTCAAATGTATGTTCTCTCAAGGCAGTTCCCCCAGTTCTCAGGGCTGTGGTTGAGACTACAATCTAGGGGCCAATGATGCACAGATCCACCTCCAGTTCAGAGCTCTTACCCATCTGCCCAACTGACATTTCTCCCTAGTGGCCCACAGACACCTCAGATTCACTATGCCCAAACAAAACTTCAAGCAAATTTGCTCTCCCCTCGTATGGCCCCTATGTATACTAAGAAGTGACACCACCATTTAGCCTAGTTACCTGAAGATGAAATGCGGGAATAATCTTAGATGTCTCCCACCCACTTACATGACCCCATCCCTCCCCAACTGAAAAACTGACTTTCCCACTTAAACATCTCTGGGAATCCTTCCTGCCTTCTGTATCCCCGCCTCTACTATGACTTTAATTCAGATCTTCACTCCTATCTGTTCTCAACGTGCAAGGATTTACACCTGCATCTCAGAGTCTATCACAGGGCCTGACACAGAGGCTCTCACCAAGCATTTGGTCAATTCAGTGAAACAGGTGAAATCCAGTTTTATAAAAAAATGATTCCTTTCCTCTCTTAAACTACATCCCTCTCCCACCTGCTGCCCAGTAACTAACTCTTTAAAAACATGGAAACAATAAAAAACTGGTTCAAAAACATAGGAATGGCTAAATAAACTAAGTGGTACATGAGTTTGAAGTTATTATGCAACTATTAGTGTTTTCAAAGAAATATGTAATACTAAATATGTATATTCAGAAAATATTAACAGAAAAAAGACTGTGAAACTATATTTTATAACCCCTTTTTATAAACATTCATATATTTATAATAAAATCCAGCCATTGTTAATATGAGAATGGTTTGTGTGACATCAATGTAACCTGGCAGCCAAGGAGAGCAGACTGGAATGTACATTCATGAACAACCACTTCACTGTACTAGTCAGTGGGGGCAGTGGACACCATTGAGCGAGCGTGTGTATGGTGTGGCTATTGCATGCAAAGTAACTGAGTGAGCAATGAATCTGCGTCAAATTTTACTTTACGCTTGAACATTCCTCTGCCAAAACTACTCAGATGATTCAGAAGGCCACAGCTATGACCAACTGGTGACTGGCAGCTTCATCACGGCAATGCACCTGCTCATGCATCATTTCTCATGCAGAGTTTTTTGGTGAAACATCAAATCACCCAGGTAATTCAGTCCCCCTGTAGCCCAGATTTGGTGCCCTGCAACTTCTGGCTTTTCGCAAAACTAAAATCACCTTTGAAAGGAAAGAGATTTCAGACCATCTATGAGATTCAGGAAAATACTATGGGGCAGCTGATGACAACTGGGAGAATTATACCTATTTTGAAGGGGACTGAGGTGTCATTGTCCTATGTACAATGTTTCTTGTATCTTCTTCAATAAATGTCTCTACTTTTCATATTATGTGGCTGGATACAATCTGGACAAGGCTCATATATGAGGAAAAAAGATAAATTCAATAAATACCCCAAAATATCAGCAGGTCTAAGTGAGAGGGGATATTGGGAGATTTTTCTTATCTGTACAACATTATCTATAAGGAACTCAAAACAGGAGGGGCAAAAATAAAATTTATAGTCACAAAAATTTGGAGAATACATTGGGAAATTATGAGAATATTTGCCTTCAAGAGTAGAAAGTTGCTGGTTGCTTTATCTCATCCTTAAAATGAGACCGTAAAAGTTCTGTTTCAATCATCTTCTCAGGCAGTCCCTGTAAATTTATTTGGATATCAGTTATACACATATAATTCTAAAACCTGTGGCAACAGCCCTAAGTCTTGCACCCGAATTCCTGACATAAATTTCCAGCTGTAGCCTAGACATTCACAGAAGACACAAACTACAAAGATTATGATCAGAGATGAGGTGAGATAAAAGAAGGGCTTTAGGATAACTTAGGGCTCTTATTCATGAAATCGGAGGTGCCCTCCAGACAGCCTCTTTTGTAGAGGGAAACACAGATCACAAGTGCACATGTCAGTGGTATTGTGATTGCCACATCAGTTCACAGTATAAGAAAAATGTTCCCATGGCTAAGATGTTATCCTGTGGGGAATATTGTCTCCTTGCATACAGTAATCAGTGTGCTCTGTAAGTGTCACCATGCTGTAGAGTTCTTACAGGAAAGAGAGTAAAAGTACCATTCTGAGCAACAATGAAGAAAAAAGCTACAGCACAGTGCAGCAGTGAAGGGTGCAGGCTCTGGAGCTACACTGACTAAGGTCAATGGCCCCACCGCTTTCCAGTTGTAACACCACCTTAGGCAAGAGTGCTGTAAACATCCAATGTGTTAATACATACAATGACCTTAGAAGAGTATCTGCTCTCCAGAATGTGGCCAATAAATATGAGTGGTCATCATTCTGAAAAAGGCAACACAACACAGTCTTTAGGAGCACATACCCTGGAGCCTCACTTGACTGGATTGGAATCCCAGGTTGTCCATTTACCAGCTGTGTGACCTTGGCAAACTACTTACTCCTCTCTGGGCTTCGGTATTTTCATGTGGAAAATGGGAATAATAGCATCTCAGAGTGGTAGTCGAGGAAAAAAATTGAATTAAAGTAGGTTAAATCACCTAGAATGGTGTCTGGTTTAAAGATTTACTACTACTACCACTAATTTACAAAGTGGCTAGTTTTCAGCTGTGGTTTCTTCTTTCTCTCCCTCCAACTTTGCTTTTGAAAAATAAACCTAAAAATTTAAATAACAGACAAAAACTTTCACTTCACCAAAAGAGCTATGCTAAGTATCAGTAAAGAATGTCAGCAGCTTGTATTGTACTTGCCACGTTTCTTTCCTAAATAATACCCATCTGCCCTTGACCAATGCAGTCTGCAGTCAGACGCTTTGATGTGCTGACAGGTCATCAGTCTTGACTGAACCAAAGATGCTTGAGGGGGGAAAAATGCCTGCATTCACTATGAAGAGTCTAAAATAAAGAGACTGAT